CTGATTGCATTTTCTCCTCTTGTCTCTGGCACTAGGAAACACGTAGTGAGCATCAACTCTGCAGGTAGCCCTGGAGCCCCTGGGGTTTCTGGAGAGAGGGCTGAAGCAGGTCATCCCATCACTGCAAAGGATGCAGTACTATGCCAAGGGGCCACTATTCCCGAAAGCTGCCAGTTGATATGAAAGCAAAGAAAGGTCAACAGCAATTACAGAGCCAGATCAGCTCTGGCCTCCAATGCCTACTGTGGAGCCCACAGTTCTTCAAGTAGGTTATACACAAAAGGGAGACCCACTACCACGGCTAGATTCAGTCTGCAAATCCTAGCAGATAACAACACAGCTATTTCCCTTTTCTGTCTTAAATGCAAAAGAAAGCTTGTTTAAATAAGCTGGTGCTCTGATTCCCTAGAAATTGGAACCAAACAGCTCTAGTACATGTGTGATGGTGATTGTCTCGGAGCAGAGACCTCCAACATGCCTCCTGCATGGATACCTTTAGGGAGCTGCAGAAAACGACAATGATTTTCCAGGTGCCTCTCATACCTGCAGGGAAGCAGCTTCCCTACTGGCTGCAAGGGAGCAATTCTGTTCTGGCTCACTAAGCTACCATGGTACTCTTTGGGGAGCATGGATATCAACTCCAGTTTTTAGCCCAGTTCCAAAGGCAGCTCCTTGTCCAGAGGCTCCTCAAGTGCCTTTCTGTATCTCCCCTGAACTCCTGTGCATGCAGCTGAAGTAGCAGCCACATTGCAAGCAGCAGGCTGCAACCTTTCAAGGAGGAGGTAAAAAACCTCTCTGCATATACAGGGCTTTGGGATTCCCTGGTGAGAAACACAGCAAATATACATGATTACTGTTTTCTCTCAGCACGCAACTTAACTCTAGAAGAGCTAGCTGGCAGGAGGAGTGATGAAAGGGGTGAAAAGGGTAGTGCATTACTGTTCTAGGCAGTGCTGAAGGAGCGAGGCTCCTCCAGCAGCCTTGTTAAGCTGTGGCAGCCTGCCTTTGCAGCAGAAAAAGCTCGCTGAGAGCAAACCAATTCAGTGGAATACAGGCAACCTACTCCAGCATGCTAGGAACCCTAAAGCAAAGCCAGGCTGCAGGCAGCTCCCTTGCTGTGAGCCAGAGCAGATGCTCTGCATCGAAGGGTTGCTAAGCTTGCACAGTGTTCACAATGAAGGGCAAGAGCAAGGGATGCACAACGGAGAAATGTCAAGTGTCCAGGGGGGTTGCTTTGTTCCCCAATAACCTCTTATTTTCTTACTTTCACTGGAAATAACCAGGACTGAAATGCTCATCCTGCTGGGTAAGCGAGAAGCGCACTGCCTGTTGAGCTGTGGTCAAGCCTGTAAGTATTTATGTCTGTTATTTTAGCCTTGAGGAAGGGAGGAGTGTTCTTCCTTACAAAAGCCAAAGTTCTGGAGGAGAGACCAGTCTCCTTGCACTGTCACTGTGCTGTCCTGTGTGGGGAGGGGGTACTTGACCCCTACTCAAGAGGGAGTACTCAACGATCCCTTCAATGCTGCCTGATTGCTGCAGGTTCTCATCAAATTCACATGCTTTTAGAAGGCACAGATGCTTCTTTCACCGCCGTTGAAGCCAGAGCATCCCAGGATGGCAGTGATGCACTGTGGAAATTTTTCACTTTTGGGGTAAATACAGAAAGAAAATTTTCAGTGAAATTTTTTTTCCACTTGTTGTCATGAAGCTACTCAATCTGATATGGATGAAAGGCAAGAAAAGCTCATATTGGAATGGAGTGATGCACAAGAATCAGTCACAAGCTTAAACAGAAACTAGCATTCATAGAATAGGGGAATACTGGGTGAACAGACCTCACATTAAGAGCTCAGGCAAGAACTGAGAAGATCAAAACTCCTAGACACCATAGTACAACACTATGATGCAAGACACATGCAGAGTCTGCTTTCCCACCATAGCGTAAGGGCTATGAATAGCATATCCTGGTCAATTCCCACTGCTGGCTCATTTTAAAAGGGCTGTCAGAACTGAGGAGCTCACTCATAACCTGCTTCCTGACTCACAGACAGCCCTTCACCCCCCTGTAGCACCCTGACCAGTGGCTGACAATAGCCATCTCTGTAGGTGGTCAGCTGCCCTCATTGTACCATGCCCATGGCAGCTGCACTCTCATTTTTCTATAGGGATTTACTTTCCACAATGCTTCCTCTGCTGCAAAGAGCACCACTGGGCAGCAATATCCAGGTGGAGAAAGAGAAGCAGAAAGACAGCTTGCCTGAGGTCACATGAACCAGGAGCAGCAGGCAGAAGCAGCACAGGAGTCCTGCATCCCAACCCACACTTCAGTCCCCAGCCCAGGCTTCCTCCCCTGTGAAAAACACCCTCTACTCTACCTTGCAGAGCCAGTCACATTTACATTTTTATTTAAATCTACAAGTGCAACATTTAACACAAGTGATGGAAATAGCAAGCCTTGCTAGATTAGAACACAGCTTTATTTTCAGCAGCTCTCATCTCACTCTGCTGAATGACTCCCTCCAAGCTTAGCCATGCAATCACAGAGACAGTGGGACTCCTGCTTGCAGTCTTCACCTTAGCCCATGTGTGACACCTAATTGACCACTCGCTGGATTAACATTGCAAAGGACACACACATGAACTGGTATGAAAGACTGCACTTCATGGTTAATTATAATTATTAGGTGTATTTATTT